CTGACACCTTGGTGAAACCCACAGAACCACACGAGGAAAACAATCGAGAACTTTGTTTATACAAAAAGACAAAAAAGATAAAATAAATATAAGTGGAAATGGTGATGACCGCAAATATATAAACATACTTATTTTCTTATTGTTGATTTTACTGTAAAATACATATTTAAATAGAGACAAAAGACATAAAACAAAAAAATCTGTTGATGTCCTCCGGTCTGAGGTGCTGGGGGGACCAGTTAGAGACCAGCAGCTGGACGTCAGTGGTTGGACTGGTGGACTACTTCAGTGAAGAGTAGATTACGTCTGGCTCTGGTTTAGAGTCTGAACACAAACACACAGTACAAACAAGCTTTGTAGTTCAATCAAGGCCTCCAATCTCTACATATCTGAATCACACACAGTCCTGGTTTCGACTTTACTGGGAACCAGCTCAGATACAATCACGGAGCTTTTTTAAGGTAAAGCTAAGGCTGAATGACACACAGAAATGTTTGTCTCAGACTTGAAACCAACTCTGCAGTCTTTGAGCATGCCCAACTCTTAACCACATTTCACACCTTGCAAAATGAACACAAAAACCTAAAGTTAAACTGTTACATCACAGTTAGTGTAAGCTGTAGTTGATGAAATGATACAAAGGATACACAGTGTTTTCCATTTCCCATCCATTTTTAAGATAATCAATAAAATTGTTGTGATCTGCTGCGTGAAACGCTACAGTTTTGTGTAAAAGAAAGCACCCATGCCCCAATAAAGCAGCAACAGGAGCAGATTTATTTAAACAAGTTATGTTTGTTAAATTGCCATAATACACACTGCATTTGAGGGTTGGTGGCAGGATGTTTAGCACTGTTACCTCACAGCAGGCAGATTCTAAGTTCAATTCCACCGTCCGACTGTGTGGAAGTTTAAAAACATGCACTTGTTGGGGATAGGTTAATTGAAAGCTCTAAATCAGACAGACTGGCGACCTGTCCAGGGTGTACCCTGCCTCTAGGATAGGAGGATTGATAGTTAGTAGTTGGTTTTATTATCTTTTTATTTAGTTTCAAATTAATTTTAGTTAAAGTCTGAGATAAACTGGTTGCTGGCTAACAGTGCAGTAAGAGAAAATATTCCAACACGAGAATGACCCTAAGCACGCTGCAAAGACAACACTGTGGTGGCTAAAGGTCAACTCTATGTTATAGGGCATTCTAGCCAGAGCCTAGACTTGGAACAATTTAAATATGGTTTTCCCCAGATAATCACCATCCAACCTGAGTCACCTTGAAAGGATTTACAATAACAATGGCCTAAAACCCACAAATGCAACCAAATACCAATACATAATGGCAATCAGAGTGCTGTTGCCTAGCCTGTAAACATCTGTGTGTTCCCATGGATACGCCTTCCCAGACCATCACTGACACACCTCCAAACCAGTATTGCTAAACTGGAGGAGGTCAGGCCCAAGGCTCACCCTTATAAAGTGTGTTTCTGATTGTTTGGTCAGAGATATTCAAACCAGTTGCCTGCTGGAGGTCCGTTTGTAGTTCTGACAGTGCTCGTCCTGTTCTTTCTCACACAAAGGAGAAGATTTCTTCAAACTTTAAAAGATGCCAGGCCTTGGAGAACATGAGGATGTGAGTTGGCTAAGTATGTGACCTTAACCTTCATTATTAGTGTCTTGACTTTGAAAATACATTTCAAGAAAAAATATTAAATAATAAATCGTATGAAAGGACCTTAATAGAGCTGCACAACACATTGTTTATTCTTTAAATACAACAACTGCAAGTTCCTTTAGTTTTTATAGATAATAGATAATAGAAGCCAAAGGTTTCAACCAATTCTGTTCCAATCATATGGGTAAAGAAAAAAAATATACAACTCTAGTATGCAAAGGTCAAAAATCAATGTGTGTTACAAAAACAGGCTGATGTCAGCATATTGTTATAAAAAATCAGAAAACATTAAAGTGTTAGTATAGCCTTTGCCCTTCAGAGGGTTTTGTTAATACGGAAGTTACAACATTTATAATTAGCGGCAGGTTCTCACTGTTTTCTATTTTCACTTCTTAAAGTCTCTGATGAAAAATACGTGAGTACAGAGACCTCGTCTGTGTGAAAGCAGTGACCACAGAGCAGCCAGTTTCTGTCAGTGTCGTCTAACATACCTCACATAAGCGCACAACTCATTTTCACAACATGAACACTGTCAACGGCCAAACCAGAACTTTCTGTGGTGAAGGGTTTCATCAGCTTCAGACTAGAACTACACAGGAACGGAAGTAGCAGCTGTGGTTTTACATGAACAACTTGAAGCCAGATTAATGCGTTGTGTAAAAGGCTGCTTGGTGTCTTTAGTCTGTCTCTTTGTACATATCATATTTATTCACCCTGAAAGTTGTTTGTGTATCAACTCCAGACAGAACACCCATCTGAGCCTTATCTGGACTACCTCTAGATTTGTAGCTCAGCTATTACACTGCCAAACGTCACAACACATCAGGGGGCTGACCCATTTAAGGTGTACGTGTGGCCCTAAAGATGACTCCTAATGTGTCATATTTGAGCCAAACAAAACAGAAATATGTTGTGTCTCTTTTTTATTCCTTAATTTCAGGTGGTGTGGGACAGTGTTTGTGGAGGTGGGGTTTCGGTGTGCACTATGGGCGTGAAAGCTGCAGAGAGGCATGTAAGACTGTAGCGACTGCTCAGATATGGGTTTGGTCTTTCAATACATTTGGCCTATATTGTATTAATTCACTTCTTTACCTTTGAGTACATTTTTATAATTTTTTCACCAGAGTTAGAAAAACATAAAGAATTGCCTGATAAACGTATGCACAAGGCAAAATAGACACAACTACTAAATGCTGTTTACAAGTAGAAACTCCTCACTGACATCTGGCAATGGAAAATCAAAAGTATCCATTCAAATGAAGTGTGCGTTGTAGGTCACGGATATATCAATATTCCTCACGTTTCAGGCTGTGAGAGGTCTTAGCTAAATTATAGAGTTTACCTGAGAGTATGCTAACACAGAATTGCCGGATGTTGATTGGCTGTTTTATTGTGTTTAAATCTATATACTTCCTGACTCAACAGGATTGTTTTTAACTGAGGTTTTAAATATTTGACCTCCATTATTAAAGTGGACAAACTGATAGATTATAACTTGAGATTTTAAATTGCAAAGTTATGAATCACACTAAACATGTGATTTCTCAATATCGCTGTGTCCTTTAATTTCAAGTAATACACTTCCGCTGCCTCTGATAGAAACGATCAAACACTCAGCCATGTTTTTCTTTAAAAGATTATTTTTGAGCCTATCACAGCGTGTTAGCATTCTAATGTTAGCGTGTAGCCTGAACTAAACCCTGTGTTAAAGCTGTGAAGAACCGTGATGGCGAGAAAGAGCAGCTGTACCTCTCATCTTTGACTTTTTTTCAGTTTCTTTGACGATGATGATTTCTTCATAACTGACATCTTCTGTTCTCACCGTTGAATCCACTGCAATTGAAACCCTCCCTGTACACAAAGCACACACAGAAGTCGTAATCGCAACTGGTCGTACACTTCTGCTACTGTAGAACTCTTCAAACCAAAAGCATGTGGATCATTGATTTTAATTTTAATTAACATTTAGTGTCTAGATGAATAAAGTTTACACTGAAAACATGATTGATTATCATCATTTAGAACATTTTAGAAAGTCACAAAACTAGAAAATAACAAACATAAAATATAGATTCAGAAGGGGACTAATAATAGTAATCAAGGCACCCAAAGCACTTTACAATGTCACTATTCATTCACACACTGGTGGAGGCAGCTACAGTTGTAGCCACAGCTGCCTGGGGCAGACTGACAGAAGCCAGGCTGCATATTGCGCCATCGGCCCCTCTGGCCATCACCAGTAGGCGGGAGGGTAAGTGTCTTGCCCAAGGACACAACGACCAGGACACAGAGCCGGGGATCGAACCGGTGACCTTCCGGTTACAGATGCGATTCCAACCCCTGAGCCACGGTCGCCCTGACTAATGGAATACAAGTAATTATAACGTTTCTAAAGAACCATATAATGAATTTAATGCAAAGTTAAAAGAGAAAGTTAATAGTTTAGTTCAGTGACCAAATTTCAGTTAGAAAATTATTAGTAATTACAGTTTCTCTTATATTGTTTTAATACTAAGAGCTCTGTGGAGCAACACCTACAGGTGACTTTTTAAAAAGACAAACAGGAAACTATACGACTGCAGAGCTGTAAAATTAACCACAGACCACAAACAGACACTCAAGCATAGTGTAGACTCAGTAAGCACAGAGTTAACTTTAAAGACAGACTCCTGATTTTGATGTCTACATGCTTATTGTTTTCTAGTTTTTCCCACGCCACTTAGAGCTCTCATTTTAGATGGGGCACCAGCACTACAGGTCATTCTAGTGTAGACTTGTGAAGTAGTCCCTGGCCCAAAGCTCTTCAGGAGTGCATTTTAGTTGTTCCATCATATTTAGTAAGCTTACTACTGTACGTGTGTACTAGCCAATGCAACATGGTGAACTATTATATAAGAAACTATTACCTAAGAACATGAAAAAGGACACAAAGACACCGTAACCATGGGACAGAGAGGAATGACTCGATCTCAGTAAATATTCACCATCTTAAATTCTATTACACTGATGGTGACACGGCAGCTGTAGCTGAACTGGACCTCTAGACAGACTCTGTGCTCTGGAGATTTTTAAAGCATTTAATTTTATTATCTCACAATAACTTTGGATTTCTCTTTAGTTCATGTGCTATCACACTGTCCAAGAAGTCTGCTCTAGATTTGGTGACTGAAATTCTACGATGTTGTTTGGACGTTACCAGGTACCTGTGATTCACCCACAGAAAATCTCCTTGCAATTACACACACACACGATGTAAATCATAATTAATGTGTAGATTAGTCTGACAGGTCTGAGTCTCACCTTCAGGTTTCTGTGAACATATCTTCTCACCAGCAAAACCAGTATACCAGTAGACCACAACAACACTGATCCAACGGATGACAACAGAGAGAACAGGAGGAGAAGGCGATGGAGGAAGAGTGATGGAGGTGGAACCAAGAGGAGAGGTGGATGTAGGTGGAGGTGTGGTGGTGTGTTCCCCTAAAATAAGCAAACACAGTCATTAAGTTGTCGTCACATTGTGAATTTTGAAAGCTGCAGAAACACAGACAGGTGAGTGTGTCACCTGTGACAGTGATCCAGCTGGATGGAGACTCTCCATGACCGCTGAGTCACACTTGTAGAGGCCTTCATCAGACCTGGAAACATGCTGGATGGTCATGTGACCTGTAGGCTGCTTCCTGATGAGGGAGCCATCTTTATAGAAAGCAGCTGGGAGGTTGGAGGGAGTGGTCTTTGTTTTACAGAGCAGAGTGACGTATCTCCCTCCATCACAGGGAGGACAGGACTCTGCAGGATCATGATCCACCTCAACACAGAGACAAACTACAGATTTCATCCATTTACACACCAGCTTCATCAACACTAACTCCAACACTCAGCTTACCAGTGACTGTCAGGTTAACCATGTTACTGATGGGACCCTCTCTGGACTCACACCAGTAAACTCACTGTCTGATATGTAGTATTGGTGATGTTGCAAGAAACATTCGCTGACCAACTGTTGTTCCCCACTCACTCCACACTGAGTCCTCTGTCGTGTGCTTGTGTTTCTCCTCAGAGTCCATCCAGCGAGCTGTCGTCCTCTCACAGCTCAGAGACACAAAGTCTCCTTCAAGATCTGAGAGCTGCTGGGACTCAAGTCAGACGAGCTGTGAGGGTTAAATGAAAAACTGATGATCTCTTTACTTTTGTCAGATCTGACATAGCTGTTAACATGGTGCATTGCTTAATTTTTCATTTCCCACTTCTATATCTGCGATCCATTGTGAAACATGAACCCAATCAGGTCATATCAGTGAGCATTTCTCAGGTTTAAACTGTGACAGAAGAAGGTTACTGACCTTGGTTTGTTGAGCAGCTCAGCAGTGAGATCAGAACTAAAGAGAAACAACACTCAGGTTGATTTGAGGTGAACATAAAGAACAACTGCACACAAACAGCTGACAAACACACAAACACATCTCTCTGATATATCTGCTCATTTTCTATTAGATGTCAGCAACATCTTTTAAGTACAGTTTTGTTGGCAGAGGTATGAAAATGCGCAGGAAAATCTGACGTGCATGGCAAACTTCACCAACGACATTTAGGGAGGATAAACACACATCAGCCTTCGGCCATTTTTGATGAACGCATGAACCCCTAGAGTGCACTAACTTTATAACAGCCACACAATGTAAAGCACACATCAAACATAATGAACCATTTGACTGTCTCCATAATTGAGAGCATTTTCTCTTCTTATTTCACAAGTTTGGACAACAAAAGACTAACATTCACACCTACAGTCGTTTACAATCACCAGTAACAAACATGTCTTTGAACTGTGAGAGGAAACCTCCACGGATGCTAACCACTACATCTCTGTGACACTGTACTGTTAGATATAATTTAGTACCTTCCTTTTTATTATCATTTAATAGCATTCAAGCTTTTATTTTATATTGTTAGTGACATAATGTATCCATAGTTTGAACTCATCATGCTTTTTATATAAAAAAACAGCTATTAAAGTGATCATTATAATTATGAGCAAAAATTACAGTGTGATTATATACAAACTCTCCACTACATTTAGATAACCCAGCAAAGTCATGTGTCCACTGTGCAGCTGTGTTGATATAATGAGTGAATGATTTGATCTTTTCACTGCCTGCTGTGTTTCCTCGACTCCTGGCAAAGATAAAGAGTCAGTTCAGACCTGCAGTTGGTCCTCGTGGTGTTTGAACTTGAATTCAGCTGATTTGTTTTTCATGTCTTCTCCTCCATCATCAGTTATCAGGAGAGCAGACAGTCAAAGTACAAGAATTCAAACAAACACAGAGATTCTACTTACAGAGCAGACACAGCACAGATGTTTCCTTCATCGTCCTTCTCACTCATTTGAGCTTTTTTTCATTTCTGTCACTGACACCAAGTAAAGCCCGCCCTCTTCCTCTGAGCTCCAGCTTTCTATTGGTTCAAACACAGAGGTGAGAAGTATTTCCTTTCCATGTAGTGGACCTTCCTCTATTGGTTCATTTGTGGGGCACTGGTGTGGAACTGACTTCTTTTCTTTGTGGAAAGTAAAGAATCAATTAAGAGAAAATATAATTCAGTATATTTTTTTCAGACTTCTTCATTCATAAATCCATGTACATTCATGCACAGCTCCCAGTTTAGATCTGGGAGACAAACACCCTACTTTTAGGAATAGGCTTAAAACTGCCCCTTTTGATAAAACCCACGATTAGGGTTGGTTCAGGTGACTCTGAATTCTTCCTTAGTTACTGCAACAGACTTAGTCTGTGTTTCTCCTTCTTTCATGTTTATTCACCTCTTTATTTAATCATCATTTACTATTTATCTCTTACTCTCTTCCACACCATGTTTTTTTTAATCTTCCCCACATCACCCCAACCAATCAGGCTGCCCCTCCCTGAACCTGATTCTGCTGGAGGTTTCTTCCTGTCAAAAGGGAGTTTTTCTTTTCCACTGTTACCAAACTGCTTGCTCATAAGGGGTCATAAGGCTGTTGGGATAGTCTCTGTTTTCTTTGTACTGTTGTACTTGAGACAACTAACAACACACTATATATATATTGTGTATATAAATAAGAATGAATTGAATTATGCATATCTCTAAAACCAGTGCCACTAGACAGCTCAGTGGTCTCTTGTCTTCAAAAGAAAGTGCATGCATAAGGTGGTGCATGAGGTGGTGCATGAGGTGGCAACAATAATTTCGCTCAAGTGAAGGAGTTTGGTCTGTGGTAGGCGAGGTTTCTTGTTTGTTGCTGCATTTCACAGTCGCCTCGGGTTTTTGTGAATGTCAGGGGGCTGGGTCTGCATTTTGTATTTTTTGATTCCTTGTAATGTTAAGTTCAAGTGTATTATTAGTATGTCTTAGTTAGGTTTTGTTTAAAGTTTTGTCCAAGCTCCCTTGTTTATGTGTCGTATTCTGTTCTATCTGTATGATTTTTTGTTATGTCTGTGTCTCGTCCCCTTAGCTGTTTTGATGTTCCTGTTGCTGTGTATCTTTTGGTCTCCCCAGGCTGACTAGCCAAACAGCAACTTGCCAGGGGGCTAGCCCAAAGAGCTTTACACATCCAGTCATCCACCCATTCACACACCTTTTCACACACTTGTGATGGCAAGCTACATTGTAGCCACAGCTGCCCTGGGGCGCACTGACAGAGGCGAGGCTGCCGGACACTGGCGCCACCGGGCCCTCTGACCACCACCAGTAGGAGAAGTGTCTTGCCCAAGGACACAACGACCGAGACAGTCCAAGCTGGGGTCAAACCGGCAACCTTCTGATTACAAGGCGAACTCCCAACTCTTGAGCCACGATCGCCCCCAAGCTGTTGCAGCTCCTTCTTAAATCCATCACTTTAGGGTACAGGCAGGAAAAGGCCCACCTGGTGCTGGAACTGAAGAATTCAGGAGACCTGCTCATCGGGAGTGCCAAAGTTCCCATTTGTACAGGTCATATGGAAGCCACAGGAAGAGTTAGGTCATGCCATTTCCGATCTACGGCATGAAGACTTGTTAGGGCCATTTAAACCAGTCACAACCACTGCCCTGGGCTTAGGACCAACGTTCTGGTCTAAAACCACCACGAGAAAGCAGTAGGCTATGGTGGTGGATGGGATAACCAGACGGGACCTGGACTGCTTCCATGATAAAGGTTATATCTCAGGGCAACCCAGGAGCCTGGACAAGATGGGATGATACTATTAACTAGAGATGGACCGATCCGATATTACGTATCGGTATCGGTCCGATACTGACCTAAATTACTGGATCGGATATCGGAGAAAAATAAAAAATGTAATCCGATCCATTAAATATCACGAAAGCACCTCACAAAACTTGCAACACGCCGTAACTCACCTCAGAACGTTAGCACGTCGGAGCAGTATGCATCACGTGATAGAGCGGCTGTGGCATGCGGGACCTGTCGGTGGTCTGGATAGCATTTGGAGCTTCGCTAGCAACCCGGCATTTCATCTCCGACAAAGTTATCCCCGAGAGAAGTAAAGCAAGTGTGTAAGTCCATCTCTGAATGTTTGTAAAGCATTCCTGCGTTAAGCTTAACAAGCGATATATGGAGCGACTGCCTCTCCTGCTGCTACTTCAATCATGAAACTGCTTAATGATCAGCTGATCGGCTTTTCTGTCGCGAGTCAGTGTCTCTTGTTTGTTTTTGGCCGACTTTGCACCAGAAAGAGGAAACCAGCGGCTGAACAACAGCAGCACGTTTAAGCTTGATCAGCTGTTGTTAGAATGTATTTAATATTACTTTCTACTCGAGGATCTTTTTCTACGTAGCTGACGCTGGTAACTGTGCAGGGGCGGATCTAGCAAAGTTTAGCCAGGGGGGCCGATAGGGCATTAACAGGGAAAAGGGGGCACAAAGACATACTTTTCTTTCTTATTTTCATTTAAAATGTCGAGCTTTTAATAAATAATTATCTGACACCCAAAGTTTTAATTTGATGTAAAATGAATAGAAGTCAATTACTGTATATAGTAACTATTAAGTCTAATATATATACCCTAGTAAGCTATAGTACTTTTTACTTTGGAAAGGTACCATCTGTGCAGTCTGCAATTTTGTTGAAGAAAGATGTTGAATCTATTTAATATTTCTTGAAAAATAATTGATTTCTGTGTATTTTTTCACACTGCATCAAATTAAGGTTGATTACGGCGATTAAGCATCATGAGGTGGAGCGTGAGGGGTGGTTCCCTATTGTTTATTTATTTATTTTTGCTGTTGCTGGGAGTTGGAACCCTATTAGTTAGGTTGCTTAATATTTATGCTAAGTACTCTTTAAAATACCAGAATAGGGAGGATGGTGTAGGTTTAAGTTTATTAGATTGATCAGTATTGCTGAACTATGAAATATTTTTTTTGCATACAGGTATAACAGAATAGCTTTAGTGTAGTTGTTGTTTTAAACTTGAGTATGAACTTATACAAAATGCAGCAAGATATTTAAAAAAACAGTTTTGTTGATTAAAAAACACTATATCGGATTCATATTGGTATCGGCAGATATCCAAATTTATGGTATCGGTATCGGACATAAAAAAGTGGTATCGTGCCATCTCTACTATTAACTCATTCACTGCCATTGACGTCTATAGCCGTCAATTGCAGTGAATGAGTCAATGGGTTTAACTCATTCACTGCCAATGGCTGGCAGTGAATGAGTTAAAAGGTACATCACCTAGGCAGACATGTGGAGGACACCACACTCCAGACCTGTTTCAGGTGGTGCCATGATCAAATGCTGACAAATCTAACTGAGATCCTGGAGAGCTGTAAGGTAATACCAAACTGCATGCCAGAAGCATCCAATCATACGCAAGCAGGATTTTTGAAGCCTTGCAGCACGAGTCAACCTCCTCTGAAACGGATGAGTCTTTTCACACCATTCAAAGAGTGGCAGATGTTGGTAGACCTCAGGAAACAACAGGCCTTCCAGAGAGAGGTCTTGATAATTACTCTCAAGCCAGACATTGTCATGTGGTCCAAGGCAGAGAATAAGGTCCTGTTTTTCGAGTTGACCATGAAACTGTAAGGATCTGTGTGAGTGTCTGGTGTTTCTCCACTGGCTTTCTATGTTCAACTTTGTCCGCCTTCTGGACGGAACCCTGCTTCCTCACCTTGCCCTACTAACCTAATATCCATCAACAACAGTCAGCAAGGCTGTATTTAAGACCAGTTCGTCAGCTACCTCATGGTGGTAACCAGGCCTCATTGCTTCATGTTTATGCTTTCTACTTACCAATGATAATTTTCTCTATAGTTTCTGTCATCAAGCCACCACTTTGCTCACCTGCAATTCATTTCCCCAGACGCTGGTAATCTTTGCACAACTCTCTGCAATCTCATCTTTCGAATCAAAACAGCTCACAATTTTTACCTGCCTGTCGTTTCCTCTTGAAAGTCAGGAAAATAAAGTTGGAACCACATCACTAACCTTTCACACTCAGTTACTCTCCCCAGAGTACACCCCCACAACCTTACAAGCTGTACATTTATATGATGACTGTAACTGGCACTGACTAATAATTGGCCAGGAGGTCCGCTTCATGATCATTAACATGCAGATTTTAATGACTGATCTGAGAATAAACAAGTCACTTAGATGAGTAATGAAACATTCTTCCCACTGAAAAAACAAACAAACATCTGGATGAAGAAAAAATCTACTTTCTGGTACAAAAATAAATCATTTCTTTCAGAGTACAGAGTGCAGATTAACAGAACACCATGAAAGGTAATGAGCAGCAACTGAGTTTTAAGGTGTCTTTATCAATTCATGATGTCTCTTAAACATTCCATCTTAAAGGTCACAGGTGCAGGAAGCTTTTCAGCATCACTGTATATTCAGTCACCAGGGCGATCGTGGCTCAACAGTTGGCAGTTCGTCTTGTAATTGGAAGGTTGCCGGTTCAAGCCCTAGCTTGGGCAGTTTCGGTCGTTGTGTCCTTGGGCAAGACACACCGCCTACTGGTGTTGGCCAGAGGGGCCGATGGCGCGATATGGAGGCCTTGAATGCAATCCATTATTATTATAAATGAAGACTATATTTATTCTTTAATGAGCAGAAAAAACTACAAATTATGTAAACTGTTTCAGAAGTAGTGTCAACACACTCAGCTGACTGCAAGTTTCCCCATAATGACTGAAACCATGGTGGTTTCAGTCATTATGCAAATGTACTGTTTATAAGATTGGATGACCAAACGTTTCTCCCCCTGAAAACGCTACGTCCAGATGAACAGAATCAACTTTTGCGATTATTAATTTGTCAATTCTCAGATTATGTTTTCTTTTCACATTTCAAACATGCTGCAGTTCACTGAGAGGCTGAATCCTGACGCTGTGATCACTTCATGTTCTCTGTGGATCAAAAAACAACTGCAGCAGCAACAAGAAGCATAGCAGGAACTGATAGACCAGCTGCCAGTCCACCACATCCATCTTTCGTAAGTCCTCCTGTCTGACCTGCAGGTGAGAAACAGGTGTGAGGTGTCAGCTGTCAGGTAGGTGCACAAAAGCTCTGCAAAGACAGGCTTTCTCTGCATTAGTTTAAAAACAAAAAAAGGCTTTCTTTAAATTAGAATAAAAAATAAATTTCAGACACCAGTTGGCAAAAAAGGTATGATGATGACGGTTAAATGTCTCTGATAAGGACTTTCTGCTTCAGGCTCTGAGCATGCTCACATTAAAACAAAAAAGGGGCGTGGCATTTTATGGATCACATGACTCTTTAAAATTTAAGAAGGTTGTCATACAGTAATCAGGTAGGGGTACTTTGATGACACAAACTTTAAGTAGGAGCAGATCATGAATATTAGGTGATGAATAAATAAATGGACATGAATAAACGTATTATTATTCTACATTGTATACATTACACACACTAGAAATTATTAACCTGACCAGTGGTGGGCAGTTTGATCTAAATGTTGATTGTGTTGAGACAGCATTGGTTATTGGTATTGAATCGATTGGATCAATACTTTAGCTTGTTTCTCTCTTAAGTTCAGGACGTTGCTTCTGTTAATTAGGTGTTAATTACCACATTACTGTGTCCTGATGTTTCATAAGCAACAGAAAACAACAGAATTCTGGGACTTTTGTTTTTCTTTTTGGGAGTTGCATACCAGGTTACAATACAGATTTCACGGTAAAGCATAATTCAGACGTCATGTGAACTTTGCTCTGCCGTGGTGTGTTTAGCTGTCCTGTGGTCACGTGAGTTAGTATAACTGAGCAGAGCCATGCAGGCTGCCAGGTATTGAACTGTACTCACTCACCTGGAGGATCAACACTCAGTGTGACTATGCAGACAGGATCACTGTTCTTGTTGCTTGTCCCTTTCTGGACGACACGACACTCATATGTTCCAGTGTCATTAATCGTCACATCCTTCAGAATCAGAGACATGTCTCCATCCTTCATCTGTCTGTCCTGCAGATCCACCCGGTTCTTAAAAGATGGATGCTGGTTGTCTGGATCAAAACGCCCATCCCGGTGCACATAAACATATTTTGGCTCCAGGTCAGCTCTGCTCCACTCTACCGTTAAGATGTTGTTGTTTGGAACTCGACATGTCAGAGTGACGTCCTGTCCTGAGTCAGCTGGGATTTTCTGCCCTGAAGGAGGAAACAACACAGAGCAGAGAGGTTAAAGGTCAAAGTGTAACTGTTTAACTCTACAGCACACAGTAAATCTGTCTATACCATCAGTCTATATCACAAACATAACTCTTACTGGATCATAAACAATGCTGAGTTTGAAGGTAGTAAACAGCAACACTGCAGGTGGTGAAATGTTCACTGATGAGATCTTATTCAAACACACATTTATATTAATATACAAACCTTTGATCAAATAGCAGAAAACCTGTGCAGATCTTATCAGAAGATAACTATCAGCTCTGATCAGGTGATACATTGTATTTTCTAATGTAGTTTAACTCATAAAATAACAATTTACATGAAGTTTAATACAACCTTTAAAACCTCATTAAAGATGATTATTTCATCATTTATAAAACGGTAAAATAACTGTTTGCTAAACTTTAATTCAAAACCCAATGAGCCTTTATTAACAATGTTATAGTAAGGTAACACCGACTCCTATCTTAGTGTGCTTCCTCTTCACTCAGTATAGACCTCTCTGCATTTAATTATTTGTTATTATTAATCTCTGGCTCTCTTCCAGCGTGCCTTGGTCCTATATCTTCCTCTTCTCAGCCCCAACCTGTCACGAACAATGGCCGCCTCCCTGACCCTGGTTCAGCTGGAGGTTAGTTCCTACTAAAAGGGAGTTTTTGCTTCCTACTGTTGCCATAGTGCTTGCTCATTGGGGGTTATATAATTGTTGAGGTTTCGCTGTATTAATGTGTGGTCTTGAGCTTACAATATAAAGCAATTTGAGTTGACTATTGTTGTGATTTTGCACTATATACATAAAATTGAATTGAATTAAATTTGTATGTTCTAAAGATTTTTTTATTTGAAGAAAATCTTAAACTTCAGAAATGGAAGCAGTAGGCTATGGTTATTAATTTAATTAAAAACTAAAAGAAGAACAATCATCCACACTGTGCGCTACACGGCATTAAATGTGTTTACTTTCCAAACGATACAACTGTTTTTCCTCTTTATTCTCAGAACGTGTTCATACCGAATCAATGAAAATGAATATATGGATAATAAATAAATGAATATATGGATAATAAATAAATGAATATATGGATAATAAATAAATGAATATATGGATAATAAATAAATGAATATATGGATAATATTACTAAATTGCTGCGATTCTTGTCTTCTTCAGGTGCGTTCACACCTGTAGTTCATTTACTCTGGTTATGCGTTTTAATAGCCCCTCAAACCTGTTAATGTTCTCGTGTAACAGTGTCGTAACTGTGCTAATACCACCTTAAATATGTCAGGAAGGGAGACAAAGCTAACGTTTAAAGACAAATTTAAAATCTGACGTCTGCCAGCGTTTGGCTGGTCAGTAGAGGAACTTGATGAGAGTCGTACAGGAAAGTCGAAACCGCAAATTTGGAACCCGCCAAGGAGTAAATGGCTACAAAAAACAACACTGTGATAGCGGAGTCTGACGAAAGGCCACAGACCAAGCAGCAGGTCTATTCCTGCCTCCACATTTAGTGTCTTATGCTGGGCAGACACTGTGCGATCTTTTCAGTCACGTTATTCAGCTCCTGCTCAAACTGTACGATTGCATCGCAGGGGTTAGAAGTTCATAGGTCACGATGCAGGTCTCACACTATACGACCCGATGCTCTGATGCGACCCGAGTGCTCACACTGTGCCTCCATAAAATCAAAGTAAAGTAAACACAACACGGCAGACAAGATTTCAAACAGGTTTGATTTTTTTTATGACCAAGCGATTACTGATCGGGAGCTGGTCGTGAGGTATTAATCGCTTCTCGTTACGCCACGTATACTACACGATGCACGACACGAAACTAGGGCCGATCACCGGTCGCACGACTGAAAAATCGGCTCAGAATGAGCCAAAGATCGCACCGTCTATGCTAAATGTTGACAAGCATGCACACTGGGTTGTAAAGGAAAACTAGACAGTGAAAATTTCTTAAGAAATTTTAAGCGTGCCTATGCTACTGCAGTTTTCAGAAGACATCAGGATCTATGTGGTTGGAGCAAAGAAAACACTAGTCGATCCGAGTAGGTACTAACTGAAAAAGCTTATCGCGTCCATGTGTTCGGACCCTTCATTCATTCTTCATTCACGGAAAGTTATTCAGCTAAAACCTGCACCTGAGTGCGATCTGCACAAGCGACCCAATCGTGGAGGTAAACGAAGCGAAGTTCAATTTAAACGCAGTAAACGCCGCTTGTGTGAAAACACTCTGTGATACCTGAAGCTGCAGACAGCAGAAGACAAACGCAGAAGTAAACCGCAGCATGAGCCATAGCATATTCAAAATGCCCGCTCTCTGACAATAAGCTCCCCCTTATTGGCGGTTGTCAAACAGCAAAATTAAAATAAAAGCATTACCGCCACCCACTGGTGTGGAGTGTGGAACGAAATGGCCAAAAAAAAATAAAAATTCCTCCCAAACAAATGAGTCTACATTAAAAACCAAAATATGTCCTGATAACTTTCACTTCCAAGCTTTTTGATCAACTGACTTCTTTCAGCATCATATTGTTGACAATGCAATAAAACATGTTCTATTGTTTCCTGTCCTCTGCTGCACGTGTATGTGAGATAAAACCCATATCCTTCTTTGTTTGTTCAATAGTGTGAAATCCACGACTGCATCAGGAAGTATGTAGGTAGGTAATCCTACTGTTTGACTCATGTTGATCTTGTCCAGATTAAGTTCAGCTACTTTGTGTCCCACTGTCCACCTAAAGCTCAAATTCTCTTTTTCCCAGCAGGATTAGATTAGGTTAGGTTAGGATAATTCTTGTTGGATGATCTTGACCATGTCCTTGTAGACTTGCCCAGTAATGCGCGGAGATGCGCGGTTGCAGTTTCTAGAGTGGACTTATGTATCTTTAAAAAAAAAAAATCTTTATTAAAAAATTACAAAAACACAAACGCTGTCTGCAACTCTCGTAGTTTAAGGATTGCATTACAATAAACAAATAAAGTAGAAAAAACTAAATAAATACTGAACCCTAAACTACAAAAAATGAGGACGTTCTCTTGTGTGAAGAATCTTTTAGAATTATTTGTTAAGAATATAAGAGTGATGTTCTAAAAGAATCATTTATTTGTAAGTTGCCACACAAATTATTTGTGCCGGTGCAAAAAATAGTTTTTCCACCACAGGACAGAGGACCACAGGTGTAAAACTCCCCCCCCACCCCCAGTCAAACAAACTGATGTAAAACAGTTATCACTAACACTAATGGTTGACCTTTGACCTTTAAACCTTTATTAATATCTTTAAAACAAAATCAGCACAAATGTTTGACATGTTTTGTAATTGATAATTATATTATTATAATTTATATTCAATGTTAATTGTAGCTAGGCTCAAAGGATTAATGCTATCTTATTTAATAAATAACACTCATATGCAAAACAGGGTGACAAGCTATTACTTCAGGGTGGCACACACCACCCCTGTAGAACCGCCCCTGCTCAGTTACTTTCTGAAAGAACGATGATGACATGAGTAATTCTGTTAGTGACGGTGACGCCTAGTATATGTGTCTTTCTGGCTGCTGTTACAACCAAATTTCCCCTTGTTGGAGAATTAAAGGATTATTCTATTCTATTTAAGCGTGGATCAGCTGAACTCCACATGGTGGAAATGTCTTGTGAAGCGTGGGTGCCACTGTCACAGTCAAGAATACTGGAATTGAAGGCGCTCATGCAAAACTAGAAACTTCTACATCATCGAGTGTTGGAGGTCAACGCTTAATGAAGCCACAAGCACAACATAAGGGTCTGAGCCTGAGGTCATCATGTCAGGCATCTTTATTCTTCACCTGAGCCTAAACTCACTGGAAATGAGCCTGAAAATGCTCACATATCAAATTTGACATGTTGAACACAGTCACTGGTTCAACATGTCAAAAAACATCAGATTAAAAAAAATTACAGTATTAAAAAAAGACAGAATTAGTAAACATTAGTAAACATCAGATATTAAAACGAGTTTATTAACAGTTAGAAAATGAAGTTCATTGAAAAGCTAAAGAAAATAAATAAACAGTATCTGAGCAGCTTTATAAATGTTAAAGCAACAAACCTTACATAACATTTCATAGAGAAAACATCTGATGCTGCTGTAATAAAAACACTGTAGTAACTATTGTTATTCAGGACTTACTCTCTGCCTTATTTGTACTTGACTTACAGATGAATCACAAGAGGCTGGTTTGAATTCTGATCTGATTGTTCTTTATGTTTCCTGCAGGTCACCAAAACAACAAACAGACAGACTTGCAAACAGTCCATTATGTCCTCTATTTCCCTCCATCCTCTGTGTCTCCTCCTGTGTGACCTGCAGGTGAGAAACAGGTGTGAGGTGTCAGGTAGGTGATGAGTGAAGAACAGAACAGAACAGAATCCATTTGCTCTTCAAACTGCTGTCAGACATTATCTGCTGCACTCTGATCACATCACTCAGACCAGCTGCTTTCTACAAAGTCTCATCAGCAACATCTTTACAAACCAACATCAACAACCAGGAAGCAGCTTCACCTCTGATCACACACACACTCAACTCTACTCACTCACCTGGAGGAACAACACTGAGGTTTATGGTGCAGATGAGGTTCAACCAGGCCTCTTGGTTTGATTCTCCCATGCAACATAACATCTGTATGTTCCAGTATCATTAATTGTCACATTCTTCAGAATCAAAGACACGTCTCCATCCTTCATCTGTCTGTCTTTCAGATCCACCCGGTTCTTATAAGCTGGATTCTGGTTGTCTGGATCAAACTGACCAATTTGGTAATAAAGGAGGTTCCAAAGGTCTTTGCTCCACTCTATGGCTACGATCTTGCTGTTTGGAGCTCGACATGTCAGAGTGACGTCCTGTCCAGACTCAGCTGTGATGTTTTTCTGGTCTGAATGAGGAAACAACACAGAGCAGAGAGGTTAAAAGTTAAAGTACAACTGTTCACTTCTACCGGAGTCAATCAGATTGAGAAGCCACACACACACATACACACAAAACACTGCTTTTGTGTTCATCACAGAACATTAGACAACATAGAAACATAATAGTTACGGGATAATATAAAAAAACATATTCCTCATGCTGATGATGAGGGTCTGTTGAAGAAAAGATTGGCTTCAGAAAGCTTCTGTTAAGCAAAAACAAAAATACGAGATGTGCTGAGTGGACTGTACTGAATGTGCCACATAATGTGGAGATTATTTCTTTTCATATGTAATTTCCTCTCAAGTTTGAGCTAGATTTCTGGTAAATTTGATGTTGACTGTGTCAGTTTTTACACGATTAGAAATAGGGGTTATACTACGTCTGTAAACCAAACAAACAAACAGGGCGATGCTTTTTAATCCTCTACATCTCAGAGGAAATAACAGTTTGGTTTCTAATAGTGATGGGTCCAGCAACACTGACGCACCGACGCATGTATCAAGCTCACCCAGCGATGCCCGTATCGGTGCGTAAGTCGCTTTAAGAAAAAGTCACGTGATCGATACAGCTGCTGTCTCGCTCATTGCCAACGCACCAAACTGTGTTTAAAAGGTACCGCATCCGCATCTAACAATGGAATGAGTCGCCACCAAAACCCCCCACAAAATTGCTCTCGCAAAGATAAAAAAAACCCAAAAAACATCTCTCTATAACAAAATGGACCCTGAAATAAAAAGAAATGTTTCTGCTGTGTGGGATCACTTTGATCTTTTAACTGCAAATAATATAATATAATAGTTTGTCTTTGTTTCAGTGTAATCTATCTGAACAGGAAAAACAGCAATGTGACTTGAAGTGTAAATTATTTATTTCATTTGATGCAGGTTAAATGTTGCATCTGTTCTGCATTTCTTACACAAACAAAAGCACCTCCTCAGTGTTCAGGCATTACAGAGCCAAACATGAAAATAAGACAAACACACTGAGAATGAACACAGGTCGGCCTATATTGACACTGAACAGCTTTATCGTCATTTCTTTTATTAATATGCGTTTTATTATTTTGAAATCAAGCATCTAAGAAGACTGCTCTGGACCAGGCAGTCCTGAATTTTATTATAAAGGACTGCCAACCCCTTAGTATTGTGGAGAGAAACATTCCACGATCAGAGGATCCTTTAACGTACCGGGGGAATAGGAAGACATCTTATCAGAACCTTTTCCACCTGGCTTTACAGTTTTGTGTACCCCAGCTTCATCTGTTCCTGTGAGTTTTCCAAAGCTGGAGAAATGGTGTAAAAAAAAAAAAAACGCAATAGACTGAATGCAAAAACATTCGATAAACTTATTTTTCTGAATAGAAATTTATATTACATTCACAATACTTTCATTTTAATTTTCACTTAATGTCTTTCACACTATATTTTAAAGATGTCTACAATATTTGCAATATAAAAGATATAAAATGATTCCATGGACAGTACAATACCTTACAGTGTACAAGAATGACTAGGTCATTGAATCAGTGTCTGTTGTGAGTCTCAAGTAAGTTGCCTGCAATGATATTTAAGGTCCAGCAGGTGTCAGTATGGAGCAAAACAGCAAAACTGTGTCGACACAGTATCGACACAGTTTGGGGAATGTGCTGAAACGCTTCACGAGGCCTCATCTACCCATCACTAGTTTCTAAAAGTTAAATCTCACCTGCAGAGACAAACGCGAAGACACCGACAAACATTAAACAGTAGAGTGACGCAGCTGTTCCAGCAGCCATTTCTTCTTCTTCCTCTTTCAAGTTTAACGGTAGCTTGCATCCAAAATTGTTGCATTACTGCCATCTCCTGGCTTTTAATCTTCCGTCACTCCTGAGTCCTCAGATCCTCTTGATGAGCATTCCTCAGAAAACGAAAAACCACCTCTTTCCCTTCACCATGACTTTACTTATCAACCACTTTTTCAAACGTAAGTTCCCTTCCACCACTCATTTCACCCCTCATCACCCTCCTGTGACTTGCATAGAAGCACATGTTCAACCATAGCATTACATCCATCACACAACCCAGTCGGATGTTTCCCTATCTTAAAAAGAGTGCCATTTAAAAAGCAGTGGCCTGTTCGTATTCGACTGATAATAACCTCCTCCTGTCTCTTTAATACACTACTCCTCTTAGCTTCTATTGTGTTTTGCACCCTATATAAATGTCTCCCTTTTGTGTCATTATCCCATGCCATTTGCCAGAAGTTCTTACTTTCTGTCCAAACTATACTTTTCCCTTCAGATATTGACAATGAGTCCTTTTGTTTTGATCAGACAGTCTATGATGAGCAAAAAGAACGTCATACAAAATCTGCT